GGCTGCCTCCCACCTGCCCCTGCTTCTTTTCAGACTTCCCGCCAATCAATACAGGCACAAAAGATTCAGGGGTTTACAGCTGTGTATAAGCATATGACACTAGCATTCTAATAATGTACCTGTTAATCACAAACACCAACTTGACATAGCTCACTGCTAGAGAATTTAGCTTGCATTTGTTTTCCTCTTACTCTGTGTGTGTGGGGGGGAGGGGGGGGGGTGTTTAAAGGCTACTGAGCATTACAGTCTTACAAAGACAATGATCTTAAATTTCACCTTGCCTGACTGCAGCCTGACGGTAGGGTTAGTGCTCTGTGGGCATCTGAACAATTCATGATACAAGTATTTACATTGGGACAATAGCAACACAACATGACAAGTTGGAAAGCACACTACTTGATGTAGGACTACCCTCTTCAGTTGAAAAGCCATCTTGTTCGTTACAGAGCTGAGAAAAATAAAAGAGGAAGGAAAAGCAGTGCTTTGATGCTCTGACTGAAACCAAATAAAAATACCCTTGCTTTTTTAAAGCAAATGTTGAACATACACAGAATAGATTTAAAAAAGAAAGAAAGAAAACTGCATTATTTATAATTGGCTTGCAGACAGCCATCTCAGTTCAAAATGTGCCCAAAGTATATTTATACATTTCAGTTATTCAGGCTGGAGTAATATGCTTATCACGTTTTAAACTTAAAATTATTTGTTATACAAGAGGAGGCTCCGCATTCAATTAGCGCTCTGAGTTCAAAGGGCAAAAATCAAAATTTTCCCTTACCTTCTCCAGAACAGATCCCTTGAACAATTTCATTTTTTATGTTTTTCAAGGAGTCAAACTCTTGCACAAAGAAAGTCCTGCTCTTTGACCCTGCAATCTCATGGAGCTGTGCTTCATTTGCACCTTTTACACCAATGGCATAAATATTAACCGTCTCATTCCTCAGTCTCTCAGCAGGCTCCTTCACACTGTCATGTGACTCCCCATCTGTTAGGACAATGAGGTAACAAGGCACCCTGCCAGCTCTCTGCTCCCTTGCCCTTTTAAATAGTGGCTGCATGAAAGTCAAAGCTTCTCCAATATGGGTATCCCCATATATTTGCCTAATGTTGTCGATGCCCCTTTCTAAATCATTTGTTTTGCTGTATTCATCAAGTTCAAACTCCAGTCTTTTGTCATGTGAGAACTGCACAGCTCCAAAGCGAACTTTATTTGGCCCTATGTTAAACATCTTAATCACTTCCTTCAAAAAATTTTTGATGTCTCCGAAGGGAGCAGGATAAATGCTTGTTGAGCCATCAATGAGGACATAAATATCAGCTTCCTCTGTGTCCACACATCCTACATGGAAAAAAAAATTGTATACAGCATTAGTGTGAGAAGAAAATGTAAAGCGAGAAACACTGAGAGAAGCACCAAAGCATATAGACTTGTAATTAGGGCCCAGAGTCAACCAGTATTTATACAATGACACAAACCTAGGTGGAGTTCCACAGCGGCAGAAAATCTGCCAGAGAGTGAGGTTATTATGGTGCAAAGTGGCTGTAACCTCAATGTAAAGTAACAATGTCTGAGAAATGCTGGTTATTTATCTTTAGATAACTGGAGTTCAGGTTATGATCCCTATCTGTATGCCACCTGAGGTGTGCATGCACTTCATGTGCCTAAGACCAGAAGATTTTTCAACAGCAGTGTTTCTTGGTCTGTATCTGTGCCCATCACTTCCTTGTGCTCCAATTCAAGGCATAAGGGACCACATGGATTGACCACCTCTCCAGTTCCTTTTCTACCATGAATAACCCAAGGAAGGGATCAGAAGCAGATAGGAAGGAGGGTGGGAAGTGGAATACAGATCGGGACCACACATCTTGAAGAACACCAGTTACTGTAAGGTAAGTAACCAGAATTTCTTCAAATGACGGTCCCTAGGGGTATTCCATTCAAGGTGGCTCACAAGCAGTACTCAATGAGGAGGGCGCAAGGAACCCTGATGTGTTTGGCAGCATGATCCTGCAATCTGAAAGGATACATCTGCTGAAGAAATTCATTCTAGGGCATAATGCCTAGTAAAAATGTGCATACAGCTCCATGTTGCCACTCTACAGATCTCCAGAAGGGGAACTCCATGAAGCAAAGCCACTGATGTAACATGTACACCTTGTGTGGGAGGGTTCACCATCAGCTCACAGCTTGATGCAACTTCAAATCCATTTAGAAAATCTCAAATGTATGAAAGGGGAAGCAAAGGAGACAACTAGATTAGGAGTTTCCCTGAAGGGTTCTGTCATCTGCAGGTAGAATGCTCAGGCTCAATAAACATCCAGAGAATGGTGCTCCCTGTCTTTTCTGGTGGTATAATATTTTGGGTGGAAGATAGCTAGTTATATGACCTGATTTAAATGGTATTCAGAGGGAACATTTGGAATGAATATAGGGTGTAACCTCAAAGAAACCTTATCCTTATTGAAGACTGTATAGGAGGGTCCACCTTAAGGGCCCCAAGCTCACCTACTCTTCTGGCCAACAACTGCAGAGACCGACTGCTTCTGTGCAAAGAAGGGTGGACCTCCCTATTCCTGTTTTTTGATATAATGTACTGTAGTCATGTTAGATGTGACTTGACAATGCAGGGTATGGATGAGTGGCAGGAATCTTTTTCAGGCCTCATGCACTGCCCACAGTGTCAGGGGTTGATGTTTAGCTTGGATTCTTCCTGGGTATAAGAGCCTGGAGCCGCATGTTTATCCAGGTGAGCTCTCTAACCCCATTCAGAGGCATCTGTAGTTTTCTTCATGGGTGGGGAGGGGATGAAGGGAACCCCCCAGGTACACAGCCTCTATTTTTCAACCAGTATGATGACAAAACTCTGTGGGGTTGGAGTTGTAAAAACTTGCTTGTCCAAGCTGTGTTTGCTTGGACTAAGAAAGAAAGAGAAAAAAAAAAGCCTGCCTTGCTAACCCAATGAAAATAATTTAGGCACCAATCCTATACTGGGCTTTGTTATCATGGACCCTCCCTTACACCTCTGCAGAGTCCCAATGACACCAAGAGGACTCCATAAAGACATTAATTGCTCCACTAGGAGACCTTGATGCAGGATCTTTGCATTAATTCAATAAAATAACATGAACCAGTCAATATGTTAAAAAGATGGGTCCGAGTTACAGTTTGGATCCAGATTCAGCTTTGGAACTGCACTTCCTCAAAGGCTAAGGTTTGGAACTAGATCAAAAGTTCAGGGGGATTTGGATCCAGGTTTTGATTCAAGACCATCTCTACTTAAAAATCTTCCAGCTAGAGAAAAGATAGAAATATGATTACTGGGAAAGGTTTACCTGCTTTAAGTAGTTCTCTTCTTTCAGACTGGACATACAGTTTGTCCTGAATTTGATTCAAGAGTTTCTTTTGTAAAGTTCTGGCTTCTTTTGGCAGGTCAGAAAATGCCGTCAGCTTAGTAACATATTGCTGTTGAGGATATGATGCTATCTGGGTTAACTGGGTGTAATCAGCATTTTCAATGCCTATGGTGAATACAGTCACACCAGCTCTCCGAATATCATGAGCTGCCTCACTTATGTTGTCTTCAGAGGGTCTGTGGGTGATCAGAATGGCTATTTGCTCTATCCCTTGGCCCTTTCTGCTTCCAGAGAAGACTCTTTGCCTTGTAGCATTAATGGCAGCACCGGTGTTGGCCTTCCCTTCCCTCGGAGAAAAGCTATGTATTTTCTGCAGAATAGCAGTTTTGTTTGTTTCTTCGCTCAATAAAGATAACACGTGTGACTCACTGCTATATGTCACTAGGCCAATCTTTGTACGATTCTTTTTCACATCAAGAAAGGAGACTGTATTTTGCAGGAAATTTTTAATTTCTTCAGCTTGTGGTTTTGAAACACCCTCATCTACTATGAACACAACATCAGCAACAGAATCATTCTTACAAACTGCAGGGGGAAGAGAGGGGAAAAGAATACAATATTAATTGTCTATTTCTTGGCCAATCCGTGGAAAACTCTTCTAAAATAGTTTCCCTCATTCAGATTTATCTAGAAACACAGAAATTGCCATACTGAATCAAATTAGCAGCCCACCTAACTCCAGCATCCTGTCTCCAGCAGTGGTCAATACCAGCCACATCAGAGGAAGCCCAAAGGAAAATGCCCATTAATTAGTTGTTCAGGGCATAAACCAACAACAAGAGCTATTTTCTCTTGAAAATTACCAAATCTGCAAGAATAGTTACAGCTTCACTCCACCCACTCTCCATTCACTTTTGTGGAGTCCGGAGTTAGTCATGCATAAAGACATGATCAGATAGGCACTGGTTTTCAAAATGTCAGGATTACATGCCTCTCTGTATGCACAGGTACCTGGTCATGGACATGTCTGTTCTCTTCATTGTTTTAAAATATGCATGTCATTTAATATTTTGAAAATTTAGCCCAAAATGTTCAAGGTGTCTTTCTTTCTAACACTGAATTACTTCTTCCAACCAATATGATCACAATTTTTTCATAGCCTTGAATTCCTTACCTTCTCTCTCAGGATCACTTGCAATTATATCTGTTGGTATTATGCCATTAATATCTGTTTGAATAACATCCTCTATGGTCTTGGTCAGGTTTTGAGAAGACATACTGAGATCCCTCACTGTGCGAAACTTATAAGAAAATTGAGATGTAGCCATTGACTGCAGTTCTTGAGCAGAAACATCCTGCATCCCCATGGCTATGATTTTTACCCCGTCACTTTTCAAGATCTTGGCAGGCTCTACTACAGCATCCTCTGATGCCCCTGAAGTCAAGACTACCAGAATTCGTTCTTTGTCTCTTCCACTAGCTGGTCCTTTGAAAAAGGTCTTGTGAACTTTTCGAAGGGCATTGCCAGTTTTTACTGAACCACCCTTGAATACAACATTTTTTTTTACATAATTCAGCATTGGGTTCTTTGCTTTATAGACGTCCAGCAGAAATTCAACGTGCAAATCATCACTGTACTGGGCAAGTGCGATACGGTATTGGTTAGGAGTCGCTGTTAGATGATTGATCATTTTGCTAATAAAAGACTTCATAGAGGGGAACGTCTTGTTTCCCAGGCTATTAGAGCTGTCAACCAAAAGGACAATATCTGCAGATGTAGGGGCTGCAAAAATCGGAAAGTTAAATGTTATTACATATTTCTTACCCTTTATCTCCACAATACTCTGATGATACAAGCAATGCTTCACCGAAGAATTTATCCAGAGATATCCAGAAATAAAATGTCCAAAAGCTGAAAAATATCTTTCTAAGCCCAAGAATTCTCTCTTATATTTTAAGCTTATTTTATTATCATGAAAGATTACCAAGATAGGAAATTACAGGTGCTCAGCATCTGTTTGGTCCCTAGGACTTCCCAGGAGATGTAGCTATTCAGTGCTTCTCAGGATTGGATGCCTGCTTCCTTTTTGAGGTTTAAATATATATATTTTTTAAATTTCTACTGAATAGGACACACATTATCTAGTGTTTCCAGTTAGAGAAATATCTCTAAGTGCTAACTTCTTTCACATGTTTGTGACTATGGGGTGGTGACTATAGGCACAATGCACTCTGGTTTATTTTTGCTAACATTCAGTTCAGCACATGGCAGAGTGTAGTTCACCCTTAGTGTGGAGGACCCATGCAAAGTCCCCTGAACCACTTAGGCTCAGGAATTACAAGGAATTGTGCACTGCAAAAAGAATCTCCATACTAACTCTACTGCAGAGGGCTGGGATGGAGCCCAAAATCCACATTTAGGCAGATCCTTATCCTTTGGCCCCAACTCCCAGTGCGACTAGCTAAGAAGAGCTGAGACAACTACTTATGACTACCTCTTATGGAGGAGTCAAAGTATTGGGGTGAAAGAAGAGGAGCTGCAGTTTTACATGCTTACTCCAGTTTGGATGGGGGGAAATGTCACCTTCTCCTGTCATCCCTGTACTCTTCACTGGCACAGTCATATTTTACCTTAACACAGTAGATCTCAAGGGTATGTCAGTGATCTAGACGGCCTTAAGTGACTAACAGAAGGGTTAAAATAAAGCACCCTTCCTCCTACATTAATTTACACCTACTCCACAGTAGAGGACATCTGTCACGTTCCTGAGAATGAATATTCTTTCCCATATGGAATCCTATGGCAACTGTGGACTAAGTGTGCAACCCTCTTCAGAGTTTCATTGTGTTGTATGCCACAAAGTGGCAAAAGTTGCTTTTTCTTTCTGTCTTGATTCCTCTGTGCTTAGTTACCGGCCTGTCACAAGTGCTGGTTGCCTCCAGCAAGTTGCTAATCTTCCTTAACCTACACTGAAGTCAATAGGAGTTGAAACCCCTCAGTTTTTCTCAGAAGAACTTGCAGCGTTGGGCCTCACTTTCCTCCTGAGCAACTTTCCTATTGACAACTTTTCTAAATTGTGTAACACACCTACCCTATCAGTCACATTGATCTGGCCCCCTCCACGGCCGAATTCTGCCCTAACTTATACCACATTCAATGCCACAATTTAGCTCTCGCTGTGCCTGGGATTTATACTAAGGACCCAGTTCTGCAGAATTTACATGTAGAATCCCAGTGACCCCAACAGAACCCATGTGAGTAGGGAGCAGGACTGGATCCTCCTTTTGCACACGCTGAGTAATTAAATCCCAGGTACCCACTTGAAAATAACTAAATTCCATGAGTGGCCTTCATTTATACGCTATCTGCATTTTCACCTCTGAATTTGGCCCTAATCTATAAAAGTCTGTCAAGGTTTACGATAGCACTGATCAACCTAATATGTAAATCTAATGTCCCTCTCCATTATCCAAACACAGTTTCAGTCTATTATACAAAGTCTCATAAGGTATAGAGATCCTGACTCAAGAGTCTCAGGCTTCACCTCAATTTTTATTGGGGGGGGGGGAAATTGGGGATTAAATATTGTATTTAAAAAAAAATCAAATCACATAATACAACAGAATACAAAGGATACTGAAATACCAGGCATCTGAGTTACTGAAGTTTGACTCCCAATAAGGAAGAGGAACAAAGTCAGCAGCATCTTCATATTATGAATGAACGTTCCAAGCTTTAATTCTGGAAAAAATAAAATAAAAATCCCATATATCAAATATCACAAGGACCCCGGAACATGACTGCATAAGGCACTAGTATAAGGAAACTTATAGGGGTAGGAAAGATGTAGTCCAATCCCAATATGCTGTTATAAGAACCTAAAGCGCTATAGATAACAGGAAAACGTAAAGGATACATTGTCTTCTTCTTTATTCATGTGTAATATGGCATTACTCACCGCCGCGGCGCCTCCTGCTGGTTACCTCGGGAATTAGCTCATCCCAGCATCAGAGCACCTCCTGCTGTCGCTTTTTGTCTTTTCATTATCAATCTCCACCACTGTAATTCAGGCGCTGCGTCCCTCCCAGCCCGTAATGCCCCTTCTCCTGGGTACTGCCCCTCAGCAGTGCCCACACACTCAGGGTCCTCCCCTCCCCAGGGAACCCCAATCCCCTAAGCCCACCTCATCTCAGTGTCCCACTGCCAGTCTTCGTCTCGCCCCTTCCCTCGGGCAAACTGCAGTCTGAAGTGGCCACTCATCATCGGCCAGGGGGCCTTTTGCCTCTACCTTCCCTGGCTGCCTCCCCAAAGCCCTAATACTTCCTCTGGCCCTGACAGCATGGCCTCTGCCTGGGGGTTTGCCAGGCTGGAGTTCCCCGAGCCCTTCCCCAGCACTGCACTGTCCAAGGTACCCTTTTTGCTATCTGGCCACCAGGTCCATCTCTGTCCAAGGCTGGAGAGAGATTGACTGGCCTCTGGCCCTGCAGCCCTTTTATAGGGCCCAGACTGGCCCTGATAAGCTACCTCTCAGCCTTTTCCTTATTGGCTCCCAGCCCCAGCCCTCTCAAAGGGCTAATTTTAACTCTTTCTGAACCGGAGCAGGGTGACCGCACCGCTACACTGTAAAATCATACATTAATTATTGTAATCTCACCTGTGTGGCACTGATGCCTACAACCTTCCTGCTTCATAGCTATTTAAAATGTTTCCAAGGTGATTATGATGACATCATTTCCCCTTTGTACCCCTCCACTGGCTTCCCCTTCTCCACTGAATCAGCGGCACCTTACCTTTCAAATCTAGTTTTTTATTATGGCCCTGACCCTCACCTTCGCTCTGTCAATGACACCCTTGAACATCCATTTATCTGCTTGTCACAGAAGCACCTTTCTGCTTTTTCCCATGCCACCCCATGTGCTGGGGAAGAACTTTCTGACAACATTCACAAGCCGTCACCTTATTCTTACTGAGATTCCTCCTTGAAACCTACTTTTAAAAGATACAAGCCTACAAACCATTGCCATCTGTGACTGATTAGGCTGGCAACCAGCTGTTACTGAGACCACGCTGAGTTATGCAAATGTGCCTGGCTTAGGGTTGCCAGGCATCTGGTGTTCGACTGGAACACGTGGTTGAAAGGGGACCCTGGCAGCTCTGGTCGGCGTAATAGTCCGGACGGCGGCGCAGCAGGACTAAGGCAGGCTCCCTGACTGCCCTGGCTCTGCGCAGCTCCTGGAAGTGGCTGGCATGTCCACGTGGCCACTGGGCTGCCCCCGCCTCAAGCGCCAACTCTGCAGCTCCCATTCTCCTTGGCTCTACTGTTAGTTTTTCCTTCTCTCACTGCTCCTCCCATTTGCCAGTTTATTTGCCTCTCCCGTACTTTCTAACTGCTAGATTGCAACCGCTCTGGGGTAGGGACAGTGCCTAGTACAATGGGGCCCTAACCCTTGATGAGGGTCATTAGGAAATACTGCAGTGTTCTTCAATCGGTGGCCTGCCTGCGGCCCAGATCTGGCCTATGAGGGCCTTCCCGCTGGCCCACTGGGCATCAGCTGTTCCATCCTGCTCCCTGCTGGGAGCTCTACTGTAAGGACGCCCCCACTACCTGGCTCCAGCTCTGCCCTGGGCAGCGGGCTCCCAGCAGCTCCAGCCGCTGCCCAGTCCAGCTGCAGCGTCCCCATGCTGATCTACCTCCAAGTGCCCTGCCCGGGCCCAGCACCCGCTGGTTTGGAGGACCCTCTGCAGCCTGGGAGGGAAAGGGGCCGCCTGGCAGGGGAATGCAAGGGCCAGAGCTGCTGGAAGCCTGGGGCACTCTTGAGCCAGGTTGTGGAGCTTCCTTCGCAGAACCACCAGTAGGGAGCAGGAAGGAACAGCTGGTGCCTGGTGGGCCAAACAAAAGACCCTCGTTCATGGATTTGGGCCCTTTCCCTCCCCTGCTCCAGAGCATCCTCTGAGCCAGCAAGTGCCAGGCCCTGGAGAACCTGTTGGCCTGCCAAGATTTGGACATTGCCTTATAATGTAATTGAATACTACTGCAATACTAAAGATCACTACAAATAATAATGACTATTATTGCACATCAGGCTCTCTGCAATGATGAAAGGCAGCTTAAAATGTTACCACTGTCCCTTCCAACTACATATTTCTCTGCATTTCAGGTTTAATATAAAGAAACTCCTAAGAGCTCATGTTTTACGAGTGTTTTTATGTGCCCCTTGTATATAGCTATTAAAACATAATATTTAAACAAATAAAAAACAGCTAAACGAGAATAAGAATTTAGAGTGGTAGCTGTACAATGAAATGGCTCTCTGCATGCCATTGTGACATAAGACTAGAAGTACTTTGCTGAGGGATGTTAGACCCGAGAGCCCTGAGAGCCTCTTATGCTTTTTACAGATGTTCAATAAACCCTTCTGTTTTACGCTGACTGAGTCTCACTGCAGTCTAGAGATCAGGGTTGCATTATTCCCTGTGGATGTGGAGGCCCCGGGGATCCAGAGCAAGTGGACTCCCTGAGCACGCCCATGACGAGAGACAGGTGTGCCGAAGGCTCAGAGAGGTGCGGTCCCAGGAGGCGGTGGAGCCTACAGCTTAACCCCCGAGAGAGAGTGGGATCCTGAAAAGGACTGTCACACTGAAAGGGGTTCCTCCCAGGGACCGTTCAGAGCCGAGAGAGGGTATGAGTCCTGTGTGTCCGTAACAAGTTGTTGCTGAGCGACTTGGCTATGGAAGTACTAACTTCTGTGTCATGATATTTACTTGTAGGTATGTTATTTGGCCACTAGATGTCTCTGTGCTATACTGAAAGTTCCAGCAAGGGTGCGGTCTCTGGTCCCACAACAGATGGAAGCCTACTTGTTTTGTTTGTAGCTTATTCCTGTATTAATCAATGTCTGCTTTGTAAGGGCTGTGGCTACACTTACTATGACAATCTGCACATATGTCCAAATCCTGGACCCACTGCCCAGTTGGGAGTAAATGGACTACCCTCTAGAGGAAGCATATGGGATACGGAATCCTCTGCCCAGATCATAGATTGGTTATGAACCACTTTGCAGCAACTACCGCAGACTGAAAGCTACATCACCTGTACACCAGTTGCAGCCACTCTCACAGGGAATATTACCCAGTGAATCTGCTTTGTTTTGGAACCAACATCCCTA